TATTCTTGCTGTCCCCCTGTCTATTTTCTACCTACCTTCTATGCCACTTATTCTCTGTACTTTTTCCCCTCTCTGCTCCTCCCACTCCCCTGTTGCTAACCCTCCATGTGATCTCCATTTCTGTGGTTCTGTTCCTGTTCTAATTGTTTGCTTAGTTTGTTTTCATTTCTGTTTTAGGTGTGGTTATTAATAATTGTAAGTTTGCTGTCATTTTACTGTACATGTTTTTTATTTTCTTTTTCTTAGATAAGCCTCTTCAACATTTCATAAAATAAAGGCTTGGTGATGATGTACTCCTTTAACTTGACCCTATCTGAGAAGCACTTTATCTGCCCTTCCATTCTAAATGAAAGCTTTGCTGGATAGAGCAATCTGGGATGTAGGTCCTTGCCTCTCATGACTTGGAATACTTCTTTCCAGCCCCTTCTTGCCTGTAAGGTCTCTTTGGAGAAATCAGCTGACAGTCTGATGGGAACTCCTTTGTAGGTAACTCTCTCCTTATCTCTTGCTGCTTCTAGAATTCTCTCCTTCATTTTAATCTTGGTGTAATTATGGTGTGCCTTGGTGTGTTCCTCCTTGGGTCCAACTTCTTTGGGACTCTCTGAGCTTCCTGGACTTCCTGGAACTCTATTTCCTTTGCCAGATTGGGGAAGTCCTCCTTTATGATTTGTTCAAATAACTTTTCCACTTGTTGCTCTTCCTCTTCCCCTTCTGGTACCCCTATAATTTGGATGTTGGAACGTTTAAAGATGTCCTGGAAGTTCCTAGCCTCTCCTCATTTTTTGAATTCTTATTTCTTCCTTCCTTTCCATTTGTTTCTTTCTTCCTTCTGGTCCACTCCATTGATTTGAGTCCCAGTTTCCTTCCCATCACTATTGGTTCCCTTTGCATTTTCCTTTATTTCACTTAGTATAGCCTTCATTTTTTTTCACCTAATACGCAACCAAATTCAACCAGTTCTGTGAGCATCCTGATCACCACTGCTTTGAACTGTGCATCTAATAGGTTGGCTATGTCTTCATCACTTAGTTGTAGTCTTTCTGGGGTTTTGATCTGTTCTTTCATTTGGGTCTTTTTTCTGTCTTGACTTGCCTGTTACATAGTGAGGGGTGGAGCCTTAGGTGTTCACCAGGGTGGGGTAACCCATGTGGCTGGGTGGTGATGCTGTATGTGGGGGAGGGTCCAAGTGGGAATAATGGCACTTGCTCCGCTCTCTGCTGGATTTCGGTAACTTCCCCCACTTCCCCCAAGCAAACTGGGCCCTTCTAGTGCTGATTCCCAGGTAGTGGTTTTGCATACATTCTAGGACCCTGTGAGTCTCTCCAATGAACTGTCCTGTGAGGCTGGGAGTCTCTCCCAGCACCTCAACCCCCACAGGTGTTTTCAATTGGTATTTTGAGGCTTTATTTCCCCACTCTGGACCCCTGGGTTGCAACATCTGTTTCTCTTCCCAGTTTTGCCTGGTTTATCTGCACAAGAATGTGGGACCACCTGGTCCGCCAGCCGCTTTGTGCACCGCACTCCTCCACAATCTGACGCTTTGCTGGGTCTTCCTGCTGCTGCCTTGTGCACCCAGGTCCACCAGACACTGCTCTACCGTGAGCCCTCTTCGCCTGGCCACCCAACTCTGCCCCTCCTCCTAGTCTGGATGAATATTTCTTCTTTAACTGCTTGGTTTTCAGACTTCCATTTAGTTCAATTTTCTGTAAACACTGGTTGTTTTTTTGTTTCTAAATTTTTGTTGTCCTTATTTTGGTTGTGCGAGGAGGCACAGTGTGTCTACCTATGCCTCCATCTTAGCTGGACGTTTCTACATTTCCCATAGTATTCTTAACCTCTCCTTGTCTATTTTTTTTAAAGATTGTATGTATTTATTTTTAGAGAGGGAAGGGAAGCAGAGAGAGAGAGAGAGAGAGAGAGAGAGACAGAGAGAGAGACAGAGAGAGAGAGAAAGCGAGAAAGCATCAATGTACGGTTGCTGGGGGCTGTGGCCTGCAACCTAGGCATGTGCCCTGACTGGGAATCAAACCTGCAATGCCTGGTCCGCAGCCCACGCTCAATCCACTGAGCTACGCCAGCCAGGGCTCTCCCTGTCTATTTTGTACCTACCATTTATGCTTCTTATTCCCTGTACCTTTACACTCCATCCTCCCCCCTCCCCCTTCCAGCTGATAACCCTCCGTTTCTGTGATTCTGTTCCTGTCCTACTTGTTTGCTTAGTTTGTTTGGTTTTTTTTTGTTTTTGATTTTTTAGGTTTGGTTGTTGATAGTTGTGAGTTTGTTGTCATTTTACTGTTCATATTCCTGATCTCCTTTTTCTTAGATAAGTACCTTTGACATTTCACATAAGGACTTGGTGATGATGAACTCCTTTGACTTGACCTTATCTGGGAAGCACTTGATCTGCCCTTACATTCTAAATGATACTTTGCTTGATAGAGTCATCTTGGATATAGGTCCTTGTCTTTCATGACTTGGAATACTCCTTTCCAGTCCCTTTTTGCCTGCAAGGTTTCCTCTGAGAAACCAGCTGACAGTCTTATGGGAACTCCTTTGCAGGTAACTGTCTCCTTTTCTCTTGCTGCCTTTAAGATTCTCTCCTTATCTTTAATCTTGGGTGATATAATTATGTTGTGCCTTGGTGTGTGCTTCCTTGGGTCCAACTTCTTTGGGACTGTCTGAGTTTCCTGGACTTCCTGGAAGGCTATTTCTTTTGCCAGATTAGGAAAGTTCTTCATTATGTTTTCAAATAAGTTTCCAATTCCTTGCTCTTCCTCTTCTCCTTCTGGCATCCCCATGATTTGGACATTGAAATGTCTAAAGTTGTCCCAGAGGTCCCTAAGCTTCTCCTCATTTTTTTGAATTCTTGTTTCTTCATTCTGCTCTGGTTGAATATTTATTTCTTGTGCTCCAAATTTTTTATATGAGCCCCAGTTTCCTTCCCTTCACTGTTGGTTCCCTGTACATTTTCCTTTATTTCACTTTGCATAGCCTTTACTTTTTCCTCTATTTTGCAGCCATACTGAACCATTTGTGTGAGCATCCTGATTACCAGTGTTTTCAACTCTGCATCTGATAGGTTGGCTATCTCTTCATTGCTTAGTTGTATTTTTTTCTGGAGCTTTGATCTGTTCTTTCATTTGGGCCATATTCTTTTCCTTCAGTCCACCTGTTAGTAATAAGGAGTGGAGCCTTAGGTATTCACCAGGGTGGGGCAACCCATGTGGCTGAGTTGTGGGGTTGTATGTGGTGGGGGCAGGGGCAGGTCTGAGAGGGAACAATGCTGCTTGCTTAGCTCTCCACTGGCTTTCATTCCCTTCCTCTGCTACCCACAAGCAAATTGGGCCCTCCTGGTGCTGATTCCCAAGTGCATGGGTTTGTGTACATTCTAGGACCCTGTGTATCTCTGCAACAAACTCTCCGGTGAGGCTGGGAGTTTCTCCAGCTGCCCCAACGCCCACAGGTTTTTTCAGTCAGAGGCCTTGTGGCTTCATTTCCTTGTACTGGAACCCTGGGTCAAGCGGTCTGTCTCACTCTCCAGTTGTTTCTCCTGGTTTATCTGCACACAAATGTGGGACTGTCTGCTCTGCCAGCGGCCACCTCTCCTGGTCTGCCAGCCACTGTCTTGCCAAGAGTCCTCTCCACCCTGGCTGCCCCTCTTACCAGTCTGGACGAATGCTTCTTCTTTAACTCCTTGGTTGTCAGACTTCCCATACAATTTGATTTTCCGGAAGTTCTGGATATTTTTTGTTTTTAAATTTGTCGTCCTCTGTTGGTTGTGGAGGAAGCAAAGTGCATCTACCTATGCCTCCATCTTGGCTGGAAGTCTCAGTTTTCTTATACTTAGCTTATTGTATTAGTTGTGTAATTTAAAAATATTTTTGACCCTTGCCAGGTAGCTCCATTGGTTGGAGCATCATCCCTGAAACATCAAGGTTGTCGGTTTGGTCTCCAGTCACAGCACATACAAAAATCAATCAATGATTGCATAGATAAGTGGGACAACAAATTGATGCTTCTCTCTCACACACACAAAAAATCAATAAAGATGTTTTTTAATTCCTTCACTGAAACTTTAGAAGAGCAGGTACTTTCTGCCCAGCTTCCTTTCTCTCTTCCCCAGGCATGTGCACAGGGAGGATTATTTACACAGAACAGAAAATATGAAAACTGAATCATTTCAGATTTTAAGGCCAGCAAAAAATCCACCAAGAGCAGTTGCAACAGTCTTATCACCCCAGTATGTGATCCCAGAGTGATGTATTAACCTGTGTTCTTTTTCTTTCAGAGCATTTTTCAGTTTGTACTCATACATTTATTAGTGTGATTATTTGATGAATGCTTGCCCTCTACTAAGCTCTACAAAAATAGGACTCATATCCCCAGTGCATACTATGTGGTAGATACTCAAATAAATGTTTTTGACTAATGAATGAGTGAGTGAATTGAATCAGTTGGAATAAATATTCCCAATTACGAAGGCAGACTAATTCTCAGCACTCAAAAGCAGTATCTCTTGGCCCAGGCCAAGTAGCTCAGTTGGTTAGAGCGTCATCCAGATCTACCAAGGCTGTAGGTTTGGCCTTCAGTGAGGGCACATAGAAGAAACCACCAATATATGCATGGATAAATGTAACTATGAATCAATGCTTCTCCTTCTCTCTCCTAACTCTACAAACAAACAAACAAACAAACAATAGCACCTCTCCCTCTCCCCCTGGTGGCTATAGTCTTAGAAATTACATTCTGAAGGGAATACAGGAAGACTAGAAAAAGAACTAGACTAGCAAAACATGTCACCTACCAAATGAGACTCTCTAGGGCAGGAGCCTGGAATCTGCATTTTTAAAGAAGTGCCCCAGACGATTCTGAATCAGGTAGTCTGAGACTCACACTTTGAAAACATGCCCTGGAACATCCTATTGGAATCTGAGCTTTACTTTCATTCACAGTCATCCACCTTTCCAGAGAATCATGCTGACATCATTGTTTCTATTTAATGTGAATCCGTTTTTATTTTGCACTTGTGTGGTGCATTAACAAATTCAACATACAAGATAGCATTACATATTGTAGGTTAGCGTTACAGCATTATGCAATTTCACACAATTCATGTTAGCTTTTTTAGATATTTTTTAAAATTTGACACATTTATTTTATTCTTGAGTTTCATTTTCACAAGAGAAGACACAAGGTAAAGGAAGATAACCACATTAGAGAAGGATCATGGTGAGGGAAATGTCACTTATCATTGCCATAATAAAAACCTTCCAAGAAAAGGACTCGCATTATTCCCTCTCCTGAGCAAGCTGCCTCATCCCACAAACCAGTTCTGTCTGTTTTCATATCTAGAGCACTGTTCATAACATGTACATCTTGTCTGTGCTCCACTGAGAACTGAAAGAGGAGTAACTCATAAAGGGACTTTTGTTATTAAGAAAAACTCTTGTCTTCCCAAAGGAATCAAGATATCAGCAGAGAAGGACTGACTCTTGGAAAATCAGAAGTGACCATTCCCTAACCTATTCCTGACCATGAGTGCCTTGTGCAAACGCTAGGATGTGACTCTCTTGTCTTTCAACTGACTCTTAAAAGGAGGCATTCCTCCTTCATCCTTATCAGTTAGCTCTGGGAGGAACAAATGTGAAAGCCAAAGTCAGCTAAGAAACTTTGGGACAGCAAAGTCAAGGGCACGATGGATCAGGCCTGAGGTAGGAGGGAGGAACCCTGTACTGTCTGCCACTTGGCCTTTTTCTGAGAAAGACACCAAGGCAGATCATAGACAACAGAACTACTGGTTCCTCCCCATCACCTCACCACCCACTGCTCAGTAGACCCAAAGAATGCAAGGAATAAAGCTACAAGGAGATAGGGAAGAGAGGAGTGGGGTGAGGCTGTTTTTCCAGACTTATGTCAGGAGGAGCTACAGAGGCACACACAGTGGGGCAAAGACCAGACTATCTCCACCTGTTGCTTTGCATTGTTTCTGGGAAGGAAACAAAAGCGATTGCTCAGCAATTTCTGATCTTTAGACATTAAGGCGATGAAGAGGAATCATTTAATTTTTTTCCTAATGGGGTTTCAGAATGCTCCTGTCAGATTTACATCGAACTAGCTCAAAATGCCATTTTTAGAAAAGAAAAATTATTTTCTTCTACGTATGATACAGTATTTACATTCCATGGTGTATAGGATAGAGACTGGTGGTATGAACCCAAGTGGTGCTGAGAGAGTGAGTCAGACTGTGGGGGCTGACAGGGACAAGAACAGAGAGTGGGCTTTGTGCCTGCTCTGCCTTGTCAAGAATCCAGGTTTAAAAAAACAACAAAAGGATTGGGGAGAGGAGAGCCAATTGGTTTTACATCCACAAGAGCTAAGGGAACATCAAAGGCAACACTGAGACTCTCTCCATGGAAACTCAGCTTTTCAACTCCCTTCTCAGAAGCAAGTTAGAAAGCGATGTTCTTTCATGGAAGTGGACCTTCAATTTTAGCTAATCCCTCAGGTCTTTGCGTCAAGCTGCTGCTTATTTGAGTTCCTCTTCAGGCTGGAAAAAATACTTACTGCCTACCCAAGCATACTAATGTCAGCAAAGTCTCTGCCACCTAAGAAGTCCCAACATTAGAGACATGGCTGCACTAGGAGTAAGGAGACTTGAATTCTAATCCCAGCAGGATGCTGAATGTCTCTCACCCTCCACCGTCCACTGGCAGGAGGAGGATTAAACTCTGTGGTTCCCCTCATCTCTCCACTTCGTTGGGAGACTCGTAAGTTCCAAGAACCAAGGACTTTGTTTTGAGGGAAGAGTGTCCTGAAGGAATCCAAGTTACCTTTATGACTCAGTCACAGTGTATTTTTAAGAGCCACTACCAAAAACTTGAAGGAGAATAATTTTTGAAGGCCCTTTGCCTTACGAAGCAACTCTAACCACATCCAGGCTACTTGAGAAGACCACAACTTCTCAAGGGTCAGCATTTCTGGAAAAAGGCCAATTTAACCCGTCAAACCTCTGATGATTTCTAACCCATCGACCGACAAATGGCTGGTGCTTCCATTCGGAGATGCAAAGGGGGTGGGGGGAGGTCAGAGTCATCTCATTTCTCCTCTCCCTGTCCTAGGACCCGCAAATAGTGTTTGGAATCAGTGTGATGTGTTCATTGTACTATCCTATAGCTGAATTTGAAGTCTCCAAAGCTCTTTTTAGAGACACCATCTTGTTCTGCAAACCCAGTTCTACCTCGTAAGTCTGACATGCCCATGTGCTTCATCCTAGTCTAATCACAGACTGCCGTCTACCCTTCTGTACAGGAGTGCTGACAGCAAAAACACCCCATTTCTCAAATACTTTCTCCTGCAAACTTTGCCTAATCCGTTCTACCTTTGTTTCTTGGCTTACTACAGATTTCTGGACTTTGAACTCAGTCAAAGAGCAGAGATGTAAGAGGTAATAGGAAGAAAAGCTGTGGATGATAAAAATGAGGTTTTATAAGAGCAAAATAATCTTTTGCAGAGGTGGGGAGTGAGAGTAACTCTCTAGAGAAGCCCAACAACAAAGAGGCCAATTTTGCCCTGGCCAGGTAGCTAAGTTGGTTGGCGCGCTGTCCCATCACACCGAGGTTGCAGGTTCGATCTCCAGTCAGCGCACATACAAGCATCAACCAATATATGCATAAATAGGCAGAACAACATCTTTCTCCCTCCCCGCTTCTCTCTCTCTCTTTAAAATTGTTTTTTTTTAAAGAAAAGAGGCCAATTTCAGGTAAATCAGCAAATATAGTTCGGCACAAAACACAATTTTCATGGATTAAAATCTTTAACTTGAGAGTGGCAGTCAGGCTAATTTCTTCAGTTTGTATTAGACATGCAAGTATAAGGTTACATTGTTATATAGAAACTTGTAGAGGTCTTTCCCTCTCTATTTTTCCCATTGAAAAAAAAAGAATTTCTAGTGCCTTGCAAAAGAGAAAAATCATTATCCCTAAGAACTAATCTGCAGCTGTGGTCATGAAGGGTGTTCTTTGTGGGGTTTATTTTGTAAGAAATTTTCTTCTACAACTAAAATGAGATTTTGAGTCCACTTCTCTCTGTCACCTCTCGCCCCACCGTGTCCCTGCCCCGCCTGGCCCGGGGGCGAGAGGTGGGGAACACAGGATTAGTTAGTACTCGCTCAGGCTGTGCCACTTGGCCACAGGCTTACGGGGGCTCTCGCAGACCTCTCTCCAGTGTTCGGCACCACTGGCTGTGACACTGTGTGCCCCCAGGATCAGCCTCCCCACCACCTCATTCTTGGTGGTGCGGTCGAAGTCGATGACAAGGAACTCGATGCTGATGTCAGGCAGGAGGTCAGTGGGGATGTCGTAGATGAAAGATTCATTGAAGATTGGGTTCAAAGTGCACTTCTTCACATGGGTTTTCTTCTTGGCAATGCGCTTTCTGCCGTAGTAGACGTTCACCTTGACATAAGGATCTGGGGCCCCCAAAGAAATAAGAAAAAGGAAGACAGGCCTATGACACAGTCCTCTCCTGTATAATGGTGGTTTCATATTGGGAAGGAAGGGGCTATGCTGTCCATTTCTTTGGTGAGCACTACTATGTGGTCTTTAGTGACGGCACAGTAAATGCACCCGGACGGTATTTGAATCTGCCTGCCTGGACAAGGGGCCAAGGAAACCAAGCAGGAAGAGAACTGGAACTGCTTCCCTCAAACCAGGTTTGAAGAAACCCTATGACACCAAGAAGCATCACTGAGGGCACAGGGACTAACAATGCCTGTAGTCCTCAGGACAAGTCTCACCTGGAGCAAGGACTCAGCACCTGGCACGCACACTTCTTAGGGTACCTTGCCCAAGGCAATGACCCCATTTGCTCACCCAAAGCACCTCCCTGGCTAGGAAAATCTTTAACCTAGATATTTATCAGAAAGAGAAGTAGACAGAGAGGGGAATGCATGCACAGTGACAGGTATAAGTGCTCCTGACACGGGGGTGTATCTGGGCCACAGGCCAGGGGAAGGGGTGTCACTGAGATATCTGGGGACTAGGTTGAAGTAAATAGCTGCTACCTGAGAGACCGGTGATATCCATCTTCGGCAAGTGCCTGGCTTTGAGGACCACCACTGTCATTCTTTGTGCCACGGGCTGATACGACAGAGACACCTGGAGCTCCCCTCTGCTAATGCACTTCTGTGAAGAAAGAACAGCAGGTGAGAATCCTGAGGGAAGAGAGGCTGGGGAGGAAGCACAGGGAGGAGAAGGCTACATGGCAGGTGCTCATCCCCTGAAAAGATTCAACAAGAAGGGGAAGAAAGGAAGTGTTCTAATTATAATGCTGATACTAAATAAAATCATTTGCATCGAGTGGCAGCACAGCCTAATATTTAAGAGGGCAGGCTCTGAAGCTAGCCTGGCCTGGATTCAAATCCTGCCCTGAGACCAGTTACTGGACATCCCTGTACTTAAGTTTTGTCATCTATAAAATGGAGATAAAAATAGCACCTAACTCAGGATTATGAAAATGATTAAATAAGTTTTGTAAACGCCACAGAGTCTGCTGTATACTGTGTGCTATACAAGTGTATTTTCTCCTGTTCTCTCATTTGGTTCTTGTGATAAAAAGGTGTAGTGGGAGGTAGGAAATTTGGTTCTGAGTTTTAACTTTGCCATTTCCTTACCGCCTGACCTTGGGCAAGTCCCTGGCCTTTCTGGAGCCCGCTCCTCCACTTCGAGGGGCCGACGCCCACACCCGAGCTGCCTGCCTCAGTCACGCACCTTGGAGGGTCTTCGCCAGCCAAGCTGGCTTTCTCCCCATGCCGACATCTTTGTTTGTCCATCTTTCAAGTTTATTCTAGGCTCTACTCTGAGCTTGAAAAAAAAACCCCTCTAATCCTCCAAGAACATTTCACACACGTTTGGCTACTCACTACATGCCAGGTGCTGAGGATTCAGAGCTGACAGGACTCAGCTGCTCCCAGGGAGCTTACCATGCAGTGGAGGAGACAGAGATCTAAGCAAAGATGTACTTGTCAGGGAAATAAGAAGCCTGTCTGAGTGTTGCTGGGAGATCCAGGGAGGGCTTTGGCATCCCACATCGGGGCTGAGTTTACAAAGGGGCCATGAGACAACGGACAGAGAGGGGAGTTCACATTGGGCAGTGTGGCAGGAATGGCTGATACAAAGGCACTAGGTCCTGAAAGGGCATGCTGTGTTCAGATAATGGTGAGAGGTACCGGTGCCTGTGCCTGACGCTGGGGTGCCTGGCAGGAGAGATGGGCTAGGAGCCTGGAGAGGTGGGCGAGCTGAGGGTGAAGAGCAATGGGGGCACTCTAACCAAACATCCGAGTCACCATCAGGCAAGCGGAGGTTTATAAGTACAGGGGCAATAAAGTTATTGTGGTTCTTGTTAATATTTTATTAATAATATTTTTATTCTAGCCCTGGCAGGGTGTCTCAGTTGGCTGAAGTGTTGTCCTGTACACCAAAAAGCTGCAAGTTCAATTACTGGTCAGCACATATACCTAGGTTGCAGGTTTGATCCCTGGTCGGGGCATGTGCGGGAGGCAACTGATCGATGTTTCTCTCTTTCTCTCTCTCCCTTCCTCTCTCTCCAAAATCAATAAATATATCCTTGGGTAAGGATTAATAGCAATAATAGTAATATTTCCATAAAAGCTGGAGAATAAACTAAAGTGGAGAAAGACCAAAGTCAGAGCTCAGTTAAGGGGCTGCTGCAAGAGGCTAAGGGAGAAACGATGGGCCTGGAACCAGGGATGTAGCAGAGGGGATAGGTGTGGGGGGGAATATGTCTCAGGGAGAACTGTCAGGGTGCCGGCCAGATAGCTCAGATGGTTAGAGCATTGTCTCGATATGCCAGGTTGCAGATTCAATCAGGGCACATGTAAAGGGCAAACAACTAATATATAAATAAGTAGAACAACAAAGCTCTGTCTCTCTCGCTCTCCCCTCCTTTCTCTCTAAAGTCAATAAATTTTTTAAAAAATTGTCAGAATTTTCTAGATTTCGGTGTCTAATTGGATGTAAGTGTAGGGGAGAGGGAAGAGATGGAGGATTATTTCTTTTGTTTGAAGACTATTAAAGTTTGTAGCTTAGAGAGTGAGGCTGAGACTGATATAATGAAAAGAAAAGGAGGTAGAGTTTTGAGGAATTAGGACATAATGTTAAGTTTGGGATAAAATCATTCCCCCACTATCAAATCTTATTCCTTATATTCTACAGAGTCCCAAAGAAACGTCACCTACCTCAGGAATTCTTAGATTGAGCATAAGTGGACTATTCTCACTAACAGCCTTAGATGCCCACCAAAATGATTTATTGTGCACTTACTAAGTGCCAGGAATTTGGCCAGCAGTTAGGCCTGAAAACGATAGACAATGAGGAGTCCTATCCTCAAGAAGCTCGTGGGCAAGTGTTTATCTGCCCAGGTGTGTCTGACATAAGAAAGAACCACAGCAGTAAATGATTTAATTAGTTTATCAATGAAAAACAAGGGGGAAAACTTAATAACTTGTGTTTTGAGTATAAACCTTAAGTTATCTCAAGGAATAAAACTGTGATAATATTTCAAATGTTTTTTTTAAAGATTTTATTTATTTATTTTTAGAGAGGGAAGGGAGGGAGACAGAGAGAGAGAGAGAGAAACATCAATGTGTGGTTGCTGGGGGCCGTGGCCTGTAACCCAGGTATGTGCCCTGATTAGGAATCGAACCTGCGACACTTTGATTCACAGCCCGCGCTCAATCCACTGAGCTACGCCAGCCTGGGCAATATTTCAAATGTTTTAAAAAAATTCTTGAGACTCTATTTCATATGAGGACCATATGAAAATGTTTCTCTTGGGCATAGAATGTGGCTAACTAAAATTTAAACTTAGTCTTTAGCTTTTGAAATTGAAGTAAACAAGAAAATAGACTTTAAAACAGTTTTGGTGGCTTTTCTCTGCTAGATTGAAGTCCCACATTTTTTCCTTACCCGTAATATACATATGTTAGTTCTTGATTACATCTGTGGGAAGCACCCTCCACCAGTTTAAAATCACAGGCTGGTTTCCCTTGCCAACCAGTATACTTTCGGGCTGCTTCCTTCTGACATGAATTAGGACACAGCAGAGAAAGTAAATGCATTTTTACTATTAGCCACAACCAAATGGCATTAGGAAAAGGAATCCCCCAAGAAAAAGAAAATCAAATGCCTTCCAAAACATTCAGAACAGAAGTATCCAATACAGTGGCCACTAGCTACTCGTGGCCATTTAAATCTTAATTCATTAACATTTGGTAAAATTAACATTTTAGTTCCTCAGTCACATAAACAGTATTTCAGGTGTTCAACACTCATATGTGGCTACCATACGGAGCAGTGCAGATAGAGAACATTTCCATCATCACAGAAAGTCCTAGTGGAGTTGATGTAGAAAGAAAGAAACTTTGGATTATGTGGGCCACTGTCCTCCTCCATTTCTGTGAATAATTAAATGTTAAGTAGATTTGATATCTATTTCTGGGACATTTCCTTGAAAACTGGCATCTAAATATTAAACATGCAATCTTTTCTTTTTCCCCTCAGCTGAGGCCATTTTTTCATTTCAGTGAGAGAGGAAGGAGGAGGGGAGAGAGACATAGAGAGAAACCTCGATTGCTTGCCTTCCCATACGTGCCCTGACTGAGGATCAAACCCACCAGCCAGGCATGTGCCCTGACCAGGCATCAAATGTGCAACCCTGCGCGCCATGGGACGACACTCCAACCAACGGAGCCATACCTACCAGGGCTAAATATGCCATCTTTAAATATAATTCTAATTTTATATACAGAAGGATAGGTAGTGTAAATTCTTGAGGATATTATTTAATATCCTCAAGAATATTTTATTTAAATAACAATTTCATTTGTAAAAAATAACACTGACTAAAAATTATAATTTAGGTTTTCTGATTATTTGCTTAAAACTGTTTCCTAAATCATTCATTATAGCAAAATCTTCCTAATCTAAACCCCCATGCCCCTTGCCTAGTTCTTCAAGAAAGTTGACAATTCTAGTTACGTTTTAATACTTTTCTCCCCTAAAACCACTCCTCAGGCAACTATTCTCCATCTAGCCCCCTTCACCTTTGGCATTTTACATGGCAGAATGCCCGTCCCCATTAGGCTGCCCTTTTGTGATACCCAAGTCTGCAGCCACACCACCACCTGAATGCCATTCCATTCTGCATTAAAGAACAGCATTTCATGTCCCCCAAACCCAGACCCCTCCCCTTCTTCTTCGACCCAATCTCATTCCAAGTAGCATTGTCTAGGCAATGGCTCTTTCTCAAAGGCTCTTTGTCAAGGGCTGGGAGCTAGCTGTTTCCCAGCCCCTTGCTCAGTGAGGCAGAGACCTTGTGGGGGGCACCGGGAGCAAAGAAGCAGAAGGACAAGGGGAAGAATGGGTTTTATCCATGCCTGACAGGAGCTGGGAAGCTTTGCCCTCCCTCGGTGTAAAGAGGAGCAGGAGCATTGGTCCTAAAGACAACATCCAGAAGAGGAAACACTTAGTAAGGGAGAAGTCTGTTTCCTGGAATTAGCAGAGCCCCTTCCAGACTGATTTTCTAGCCACGGAGTCTTTGCATTAAGTGGATACACATATCCTCAATAAACCTTTACTGGGGTTAGAAATCCTAAGGGCAACCTCCACATAGTTCCCAACTATGTTCACCATCATGGGAAAACAAAAGAAACAAAAACCTTAATGTTCAACTACATTCCTCATCCCAACCTCCCCAATACACGCACATAGCAACCTTCTCTCATTCCTGGAAAACCAGCATTCCTTTTTCCTTCTCTTTTCAGTCCCTTTGGCTACAATGGATGACCTATAAGGTCCCTTATAAATCTGTGATTTTGAGAATCGTTTTGTTCCCATTCCCTTGACCATCGTCCCAGGTCATCAACACCAGATCTGACTCTTGACAGTGACAAGACTGGAAATGGTTTGGAAAACAATGGCCTGAAGAAATTAGCAGTTTAATGACTCTCTGGATCTGCCTGTGAATTACTTCTTTCCCACGGTCTGATTTTTATTCCCCAGCCCTCTCTGCATTGACTCCCGTCTCCTTGTGGGAAATTTATTATGGGAATGTACATTTACTTTAATTTCTATGTGAATAAAATACTAAGCTGCCACTAAAAAAAAGAAATCTAGTCCCAAAGTCCAATATCCAGATTTTATACTGTGTTTATACTATGATCTTCTTTCACTAATAATCAAGGGTTAATTTTTCATGCTCATTATATCTTTTGTATCTCGATAAGAGCTGAGAGTGCTCTCACAGAGTGATCCCAGCAGCCTTCATGATCTGGCCGAGAGGGAGACTGAGGGCCAGAGATAGTAACTACTTGTCCAGAGTAAGGTAGTGCAATGGATAGAGTAAAAAATGATGCCCAGTCCTGGGCTTCTTCAACTGGACTGCACTGCAGAGTGGGAAGGACAAGAGATGAATTTTCTGCTCAAGGTCAGGGGATGCAGTTGGGAGAGAGGAGTTGTGCAGAGAAATGCAATTCTCATCATCTCTACCCAGGAATCTGAAGGAAGATAATTTGGCCCCATATTATAAGGGGCTGCCTTACACAGAGGGAAAAAAACTCTTGATTCCACTCTTTACAGACAGCGTGGAATCATCCAGGGCAGCTCTCACTGATGAGCTATGGGGAGATCCAGAAAGGGCAGACTCTTGGCTACAGTAGGGAGGATTTAGGGTAGACATTTGGATGCTGAAGTGCTAGGGAATCACCAGGATGATGACAGACATGGCCCAGGATGGGACACAGCCCTGCCCACAGGCACTGGTTGGGGAAAACATATTTAGGAAGCCAGGGAGGCTGGAAGGCTCTGGGTGTCCTGTCTGGGGCCTCTCCCAGGGGATGTGTTACTCAAGATCCCAGCCCTGGCTTATCCCTCCTGAGGGAAGTTAATAAAATAGAAAAAAAATTGGCACACGGCAAGAGCCCCTAGGGATCAAACCCTGGCAGTTCAGCAAATGCTTCCCCCCTGCCCAGTGTCCTGGATGCGAGGCTAATTTGTTCCCAGCCCAATTCGGTTCCTTTCCTTGCCGGTCTCTTCCCAGCTGCAGCTTGGTGCAGAACCATCCCCCACTCTCACTCAGCCTTGGGTAGAAAGTGCATTAGCTGCCTGGAGGAGTCAGGCTAGTTGGTGGCTACAGGGAAGGTTGAGTTGGAAAGGATCGTTCCTGGGAGAAGAGCTGGATGGAGACAAGCAGTGGAGCACTGCAGGTGCTCTACAGGGGAGTCAGGAAATGGGGAGGGGTGGCTGAACCTTGTGAAAGAGATAGAAGGAGAGAGATGGAATACAGAGGGGGATTCAATAGGACAGGAGCCACCATACCCTCTGACTCCAGCCTCCGAGGCCATGAAAATCCCTGCTACGTTGGCCTCTAGGATATCTCATTAGATCCTAGCATTGGACCAATGTTTATGTCATGACCAAAGGCCTCCGATAATCTTCAAAGTTTTTGAACTTCCCTGGCCCCTGTGAAGTAAACTGAGTGTGCCACATGGCAGCAGAAGTTCTTTGGGCAATTGTGTGACAGGGATGGCTGCAGTGGGACAGGTGTCTGTTACATAGCAGAGAAGATAAGAACCCACCTCTGGGGGAACTGCTCCCTCCCGCCTCCCCACAACGTGGAGCAGTGCCCCTCCTCAGTGGACAAACCTTGTCCCCAGAGACTCGCTGCACACGCAGCCCCTGTTGGCCTGGAAGCCTCTTTTGTCCAATCCTGAGCCTCCTGCCTCCCCACTAAGTCTAGTGTGGGCTTGCATCCAGAGATAAGTATGGCACCTATAGCCAGTGCTCTTTCTGGGGGATGTGTAGTTGCTTTTAAGTGACCCTGATACCTTTCTGAATCTTCTACCTGCTTTTCCACTGATGCAGGTCTCCCTTTACTTGGTCAAAACAAAATAAAAACATCTCCAAACCACATATATCTCCCAGGGACCAAACTTTATTAATAATAATAGTTGTGCCCTGGCTGGTATAGCCCAGTGGATTGAATGCCTGCCTGTAAACCAAAGGGTTGCAGGTTTAATTCCCAGTCAGGCACATGCCTGGGTTGCAGGCCAGGTCCCCCATAGGGGGCGTATGAATGGCAACCAGACAGTGATGTTTCTCTCCCTCTCTTTCTCCCTCCCTTCACCTCTGTCTAAAAATAAATAAAATCTTAACAAATAATAGTTGTTGTAATTTACTGAAGGTATATTAGGTGCTAGGGATGATATAAATTCATCACCTTAATTCCTATAAGAAACTGAGCTAAGCAGCTTGCCCAAGGTCAGTTGGCTGATGGCATTTGGATTAAAATTCAGGTCTGACTTCAAAGTCTTTGCTATTAACCACTTCTATTTTATTTTGCAAAAGGAATGAAACTCTGAGTTTAAAATGTCAACAATTTTTTTCAAAGCACCTACCACACTCACTATGTGGCCATTGCCAAGATTATCTGTCTTTCCTTCACTAAGGTAAAAGCTCCTCCAGGGCAATGATACGCCAGAGTATTAGCTCATTGGAGCCTCCTAACTCGGTAAGGAAGGCAATGGTAGCAGCTCCATTTACATCTGGGGAAAAGGAAGCTTGGAGGGTTACTCACCTGTGTCACACAGCAGGAAACAGGTGGGCTGGAACATGAAGCCAGGCATCCAACTCCAGAACCCGAGTGCTAAACCTTAGAACTACACTGCCTCCCTGACTGAGGAAGAGATGAGTGAGCTGATGGAGGACAGGGTTCACATTTCTTGCACCCCTGAAGTTATAACTCAAGAGCCAATGCTGGCCCAGTGGGAGACACATTCCCCTTCTAATGCAAACAGGGAGGAGGAATGGGGAGAGAGGTATCTGTGGGAAAAGTTTGGGCCTGGCCAAGGGGCTCAAAGGTGAAGCAATTCATTAAATTGCATTTATAAAATGGTTAATAAAAGATACATATGTCCGATACTATTTACACCCCTAGGTTTGGGTTGGAAAAGGAAAGCTGAGGGCAAGGCTACTGAACTACTTTTATAGTTTTTCAGCTGTGAGAAGTTAGTTCGCAAAAGGAACATCACACATTATCTTAGAGAAAAAAATAGCCCCAATATCCAAGTGAACTGGAGGCACTATCAGGATGCCAACACTAAGTGAGATTTCAGAAGCTACCTGTCCCTCTCTTCCCCGGAAGATGCTTCTTAGAGGAGACCTGCCAGGCCCTCCATCTTACTTTGACCACTGCTTATTCTTGATAGCTGAGAGTTTCCTCCCCACAGTCCCACTTTGCCACCCATTTCATCCCTTTCCCCTTCCATTTGTTCCCTAATATCTTGTCTCCCCAACACACACTTCCTCCTCACCTGGATGTTCCTTTTGATGATGTCTCTAGTCAGCTGTACCTTGCCTGTGCTGGGGTCCACCCCAGCCAGTGGCACCATGACCTCCCCAATGACGTCGTCCCGAGAGAAGCGGTCAAAGCTGAGAACGAGGAAGTGCAGCACCAGGTCCTGGAGCTGGCTGTATGGGATGCCGTAGAAGGTGAAGGTCTCGTCGAACACCGGGTCCAGGGTCTTCCGGAGCACTCTGGTCTTTACTCGGTGCCGCTTGTCGGGAAGGATGGTCATTTTGATGTAGGGGTCAGAGCCCTGGGTCTGGTCATCCATCACGGGCAGCCCGTGGGCCTCCTGGATTGTCACTACCAGGGCTTTTTTGGGGAAGTTATAGTCCACTGAGAAGGTGAGGGATCCCAGCATGACGTCCTCCTCTGGAGACGATGGGGAAGTGGTTTTGCTCTCCCCGGGGGTTAGGCTTGCAACAGGGCTCCTCAGTTCTTCCCCGTAGTCCACTTTGATGGGTAATTGGTCTATACAAGAGCCAGAGCTAGTTCCCCGGGGACCCTTGTCTCGGCCCAGCAGGCCAGCCTCTGCCGCGTCCACCAGGAGGTTCCCGCGCCCACCTTCCCTCCCAGGGCCATCTTTGTCTCTTCGCACTTTGATGATTTTCTTCTTGTTGCTGAGGGTCTCTGGGTATATGCTGATGCCTTTGAGCATATGAATAAACTTGTATGGTGGGTTCTTGTGCTTCTTTTCTGCCTGCTGGTGGCAGCATGTCCAGACAAAGACGGTCACCGAGACACACACCACCAGTACAGAGGCCCCGATAAGGCCTGCCACAACTGGTGACACATCTGAAGGTGGAGACCAGAGATGCGTCAAGGCAGGTGGATCTCAACCCCTGTCCAGAGCTCTCCTGTTGCCTCTGCTGCAGCTGAGCTGACCTGCACCTTGCCTCCAAATCAAAACTTGCTCACCTGGCCTTACGGACTTCTCCCCTCCCTTAGAAAGGCCCTCATCCATCCTCTCAGCCACCCCACGGCTCTTGCTTTTCACCAAACCTGGATGAAATATTTACCGTCTCCAGAAAGTCTTCCCTGAAGTGCCCCACCTGATTCCTTGTTCTTTTCTTGGCCTTCCCTCAGCACTTATTAACCTTGTTTGCTCATAATGATTTGTATTTCACAGGAAGCTGCCCCATAAGTGTTATAAGGTTACCTTTTCACGTGGGAACCCATTTACCTCAACTGTTACACAGGGCGCAGAGTGTGTCTGGTGTCGGGAGGACACTCCACAGCCCCTAGTGCAGTGTTTGCCAACTCTGGGCCTGAGTGCACTGGCTGGCAGGTGGGGTGTAGGGTGTGGGGCTGGCTTTGGATGGTTTTAGTAGGGTGCGTAAGGGTACAAAGGTGGGTGGGTGGTAAAAAGAACTGTAGGCCTAAGGGCTTTTAAAACATGTTCCGAATTTTGGCTCCAGGTATTTAAATTAAAAGAATTTTAAATAGAAAAATAGTGACTATGGGGGAAGGGGGATGTAAAAAAATACAATAAAGATTAAATAAAATACAAAGAAAAAACACTTTCACGTATCAAAAGAAAAAAAGAAAAAATAGAGACTGTGGAAAATGTCAGATCTTTGCTCAAATGTCACCTTCTTAGTAAGACCATCCCCGACCTGCTTGATTTTCTTCTAGGTGTCCTTTCTTCCTCTCCTACACACACATACGCACAAGAATATATAGAGATACATACACTTAATTTTACTGTTTATTATCTTCACTAGAATATAAATTTCATGCGGACAGGGATTTTTGTCTGTTTTGTTCATTTCTATACCCCCAGCACTAGAAATACATAACAGGTACTTAATATATGTATATATATATATATATATATTTGTTGAATAAACAAATAATTAAAGAGAAACATTTTTTTCTTCCCTTCTTCTAGTCTCATCTGTCTTTCCCCCATACCAGCTGGGTCCCTGACTTAGATCATTAGGTTTGGGGTTATTTTCCCCTTGAAGTTCACTGAAGCCAGTTGGTCTAGATACAGCCACTACCTTTCCACATGAGTTTTTGTTGTTGTTTTTTGTTTTGGGACTTGCTTAATTTTTTTCCAATTACAGTTTACATTAACATTACTTTGTATTAGTTTCAGGTGTACAGCATGGTGGCCAGACAATCATGTACTTTACAAAGTGTTCCCTCTGATGGTTCCAGGACCTGCCTGCACCACAGATGTTACAATGTAATTCACTGTCTTCCCTATGCTGTGCTTTATATCCCCTGACTATTTTGTAAGTACCTCAACATTATTTTTAAGGGAAGATTTGGGCAGGGAGAAGTAAAGAAATAAATGTGACTCCAGAATATTCCAGATTCTTCCTGGAACATCCTTTCAACAGGTATCTGCCTGGCTTTCTGTCTCTCACTGCAGGTCTCTGTTCAAACCTCACTTTAGCAGAGAAGCATTTCCTAACTGTCCCAAAGTGAGATAATATCCCTATCACCCTGCTTTATTTTTTTTTCAGAGTACTTATTACCCCCAATATACCTTACTTGTCTGTTTTCCCTTACTTGATAAGATTAATAAGAATAGTGAATGTTGCCCTGGCTGGTGTAGCTCAGTGGATTGAGCAGGGGCTTGCAAACCAAAGGGTCACTGGTTTGGTTCCCAGTCAGGGTGCATGCTTGGGTTTCGGGCTAGGTCCCCAGTGGAGGCCACTCAAGAGGCACCCACACATGGATGTTTCTCTCCCTCTCTCTCTCCTTCCCGTCTCCTCTCTCTAAAAATAAATAAATAAAATCTTGGGGGAAAAAAGAATAGTGAATGTCTGTTTTTTCACTGCCATATCCCCAGGCCCTAGAATCACGTGGCACATAGTAAGTGTTCAGTGAGTGAATGAGTTTGTAAATTCAAACAGCCTCCACAGACTGGAAAAAGAGTATACAGTCTATATGATTACATACACCAGGGAAAATGTAAAATTTAAAACATATCATTGAGCAACGTCAGACCAACCTTACTTGACAAGTGTGAACAAAAATAACTTGGTAGTTTGACTGTCCACAAGCTTGGAGTATAACTAGGCTAATGTCAACTTATACTATGAATATGATGTCTGGATCACGGGAGGGTACTCTAATTTCATCTGTATTGGTCACAGTACATATGGAGTGTTCTGTCTAGTACTGACAGGAATAAAAACTGTTATTTTTTGGTGTACATTAATAATGTCCATGCCAGGCATTGTACTACAGCTTTTCTCTCTGAGTCAAAGAACTCCCTGAATAGATACTGTTAGTAACCCCACTTCACAGTTGGGGAACCTGGAGGCCCCAATCTGCCCCAGGCCAAGTAGCAGCAAATGGCAATGATGAGGTTTAAACCCTGGTGTGCCTGGTACCAAAGTGATTCTACATTATGGGTAATGTAAAAGGATAGTAAAAGGTCTGGAAACAATATCAAATGAAAAAAAATGAAAGGAACTGAGGGGGTGAGAGGTCTGGGAATAATAACTTTCTTCAATTAGTTAAGGCATTGTGATGGAAGAAGGTATGATTTGATTTTACTTTGGAGGGCAGGTCTAGTACCAGTGCATACAGCCTATAAGAAGACAGATTTAACTTAATGGAAAGAGTCAAATTATTATTAGAACTGCCTCCCAGATCGTTTCATATGGCAGTGAATCTACAATGGAAAACTTTCAGAGGTTGTATCGCCATTGGTCAGTCATATTCTAAAAGGCATTTCTTCCTTGGGGATTAGACTAAATATCTCTTAAGTTTTTCCTGCTTCAAACATTCCATGATTCTATGAAAGCTGAAAACAAGAAAGAAAAGAAGGGGTTACTTTTCAAAGAAAAGTCACTAACAAAATAAATCAAGGTGACCGTGTCCATACTGAATAATAATAGTTCATTCTCAGAGCATTGGGTGAAATGAGTTATTACGGAGAGTTTTCACAAAATGGGGGTAGCTTTGGTGCTGAGCTCCTTAAGAGCAAGCAGAAAAAACAACCTATTCATCTTTGAATCCCCAGTCTCTTGCATCAGTAAGAGACTCAGTACATGCTCAGTAAATATTTATTTAAACAATTGATTGGTTTCAACTGTCAATGCAAATGGGCACAAGCTAAAACGCTGGCTCTCTATTCACCAGTTAAGGACTTCACTGAAAATCGCCTGCTACTGGTTAGTGAAACTGAACTTTGATGGTCTCTGTGAGGAGAGGAAAGCAAGAAACTACCAAGACAAGTATTGTTTTGAGAATGATTTGAAAGAGAGATCTAAAGGCCCATGTTGGGAGACATTGGAGTGATCCTCTTGGCTGTACCATAAATTTACTCTGTGAACCAGACAGAACTCGATGCTCTTTACCATGCCTCCACTTCCGCTGTTAGAAAATGGAGATGGTGTGGGTAAAAGAGAAGATGAAGGAATCTTACCTTTCAGGAGGACAGAGAAGGAAGAGAAACAGATGAATCCATGTATAAATCACCTAGGTACTTTCCTCCACCTTGCTTTCCACTTTTGCCTTACTTTCTTCTTCATTTAAACATTTGTTAATTTCTGCCTCTCTTTCCCACACTCAAGACAGTGAACTAAAAACATCAGGGGTGTTGAAATTCAGAACCCCCTCTCTCTCTTTAGTCAAAAGGTTGGTGGGAAAAGGAAGTTGGAACTACTATCTAAAATGAGTGTTGTGAAGTAGTTGTAAATTGCAGTGATACTGGCTGCTTGTTCCTTTTGTCCTTCAAGGTCATGGACAATTGAGTGTAGGTTTGGTGTATCTCCCCAAGAGCTACAGTGGCGTTTGAAATGAAGTACTCTATGAGACATGAAAAAGTCAGAAGCAACGGCTCCCTATGAAGGAAACCCTCTGTAAGGGTTGAAAGACCCGAGAGACACCCTTGGGCTATGCTCAACGCAGTCAGTCCCTGATTAGACCTGCTTGTTGACTTCCTTTACTAAGATAGCCTTTCCCTGTCAAACAGACCAGTGTGACAAAAACGAGAATCTACTTTGGCATCAATTGGACATTGGCACAACCCTCACTAGTTTGTGTGACTTTTCTTTATTTTATCTTCCTAAGCCTCAGTTTCCTCACCTGGAAAATATATATAATGCCTACACCAGAGTGTATGTGTAAGGATTAAATAAAATGTGGTATGTAAAAGGCTGATAAAATTTCTTTTAGCTTTTCTGCTAATACTCTCTCTAAAGGAAATCACTGCATTATACTTTACAACATCTCACTTTGCAAGGAATCGGAAGCTGCAATTAGAAAAAAAGAATATGTTGAAAAGAAGGCATAGAAGGAAAAAGAAAGAGCAGAAAGAAAAGCAGAGGGTGCTCATCCAATCATGAAAGGGACCTCTATTTTGGAAATGTAGGACTCAAAGAATAGTGATACAGAAGGTGAAGTGGAAGAAAGAAATACCATCAAGATTTAGCCTTGGGCATCAGTGTGAACAAGGAGTTAATGGGTATGATCTGTTGCCTGGATACTTTCCCTGCCTTGTGTCTGTTCCTGGTATTGAGAGACGGATGGAGCACATTATGTTCTGCTCACTTCCATAAACCTCTTACTGGGGAGTGAGAAACACCATTTCCTAGTTGGATCGTGGCACCACCCTAAAGACTGGATACTCAAACCTGGAGTGTCTGCGGGTTGGGATCTCTTCAGGGATATGAAGGAACCACAGGCTGACAGCGACTCTCACTGCTTCTACTATCCAAACTGGAGTAGAACTGAGGGAGAAGTAAGTCAATTCTTTTTTAGTATTGCACCAGCAAAGCGTAGCACAGGTAGTTACCCTACCCTATTTTGGAGGCATCCCCTAAGAGGAAAACACTTGCTTCTCGGTCCTCCCTATTTTCCACTCTACTCTTTGCTCCAAGGAATGTAACTGATCTCGGAGCCCATAGGGCTGGGTCAGGGACCAGCCTCACCGAGATGACGTAATGCTTTCTCTGGTACACAAAGCGGCCTCCCCCAGGCTTGGCCTCTCTTGCCCCTCCCCCTCCGGCCTGGATCGGGCCCCCGCTAGCTCCAGCACTAGCGCGGGTGAACTCCCCCTTTTTGAAAAGCCGTCCCAGGGAACAGGGAACAAAGGCCTAGAAGGGAGCGCCTAGGCGCTGCCAGGAGGCCCAGAAATAGACATAACGTCATCCTCCAGCCCAGCAGCACCAAGCGCCATTTGGTAGCATCGGACAGACCCCACCATTACGATGCAGAATAGAACTTGGAGGGCTCACGTTTCCTCCCAGCTCCAGCATACAGCTGACCGGCTTAAGGAGTGGCTTCCTTTTTGCTCCCCACCCCCGCACCTCTCTCCCTAGAGGCCGCTGCCTCCCCTGGCTGCCAGCCACCCACCCTACATTCTCCAAGCTGCCATCTTGATGCCTCATCCCCCTGGCCACCTCCCTCCCCCGCAGTACTGAGGAGTAGGAGGGGGAGGAAGGGGCACCGCCCTGCGTGCCCCAAGGGGGAGGGCTCGGCCTACTCCACCTCTCCTCCCCCAGAAGGAGGGGTTCCTTCCTCCGCAAGCTCGCTGTTTCTCATCTCCTGTAGTGCTGACGGTGCACCATACAAGGTTTTAGCATCCTGCACCTTCCAGCCTCCGTGTGGCTCTAGCCTTCCCAGCTTCTGCAGCTCATAGCTCAAATTCAGGCGCCGTCCACTGCCCAATACCCACCACCACAGGCCCTATTCTAGCGAGGCTGGCACTTGAAAACCCTGGTCTGGGCTTCATTCCCCGTCCAGCCGCTGGACTCCCTGGCTTTGCCGCGCTTTCGACTACCCCAGGCTTAGTTTTCCCAACTTGTACTTACCAAAGCTAGGTCGGATATTGGTGATCTCGGCCATGTCGTAATCAGAGGCTATTGCTATAAATGTTTTTGCAATGGTCAGACAACTCTGGGAATCCTGGATCAGAACTGAGCCCACTGCTGCTGTATAGCGCTAGGTCTGGGGTAGGGGAAGGTATCTGGTGGACGCCTCCTGCGACGGTATGGTCCCTGGTTGCCAGCTGCAATCTCCTCTTAAGATGCTCCAGGGATGCTCTGAGCTGAGGATGCAGGTGCAGCCAGACTGGTCCTGATGTGAAGTAGACCCCGCCTTCTTCCGAACGGCCCTCGGCAGAAGACTCCGCCTCTGCCCGAAAAGTTCCGGAAAACATGCCCCGCCCCTTTCCGGAAAGTCTCGGTGAGGGGACCCCATCACCCTGGTATCGTGAGAATGAGACCCCGCCCAGTGACGAGCTGTGGGTCTAAAGAAGAAAACCCCTAGGACGAAGACGGAGTACAAATGTAGGTATATTATCATATGAGAACCTATAGATCCTGTGATTCTGGTTCTCTGGGCTTAATATGGTGGCAGAATGTTTTGGGTAAGAGGGAGCTCAGGATTTTGGAAAAACAAAATTATATACTGCTTTCATTTCAGTATCACTTGCCATTATTGTTATACATTTCTGAGTCCACTAAAGGTTATTATGGAAATTTTCTTAAACTTCAGAAACTGAGAAACACTAATTAAAACTCTAATTAAAGATCAAACCTCGTGGTGGTTGCACAATTCTGAAAATGTACTTATAATTTAATTATACCAGTAAAACGAATGAATTTTGCGATGTGTAAGTTAAAGCCATCTTTATAAAAAGACAAACGAAGATTGCCAAAGTTAATCAACGATGGATATTTCTTTTCTAAAGTGTCAAGTGCTTAGGGCTGCTTAGGAGAGAGAGCGAGCATACATACCAATAGATACGCGTATTCTGCTGGTTCACAAGCTGGACATGAATGAAATTCCAAGCTTCTAGAGACTTCCTTGGCCTTTGGAAGAGTTAGGGTGATTCAGGTTAAAGTCAGACTGCGGTTAGGCCCATGATCACATCAATTTCACTCTTCATTTTGGCTGTGGATACTTTCATCCTGTTGGATTCTGTTTACAGACAGTATCAGATCAGGCTATTTAAATACGTAAATATTAGTTGGGAGTTCACTTGTAAAATGAAAGTTGAATGCATTTTTCCAGCATTGGAACATTCCTTCTAGAAATGTGGAAATAGTTCTGCGAGTCATTCATTTGTTCAAAACATAGGTATAGACTTATTGAACATTGACTATGCCCCAGGCACCTTCCTGGGCACTGGATCAATACATTAGAAGATAGTTAAGGAACTTGATTCTCCTTGATAGTTGTATATCTTTGTGAAATCACTTACCCAGCTGAGCCAGAAGTTTGTCCTGTATAAATTGGAAGGTATAATAATATACATTGTTCCATAGGTTTTATTGTGAAGATAAAATCACCTATGATAACATAAGTGAAAGTATTTCGTAAAATGGCAAAGTATTATACACATATGAATAATTACTATGGAATGAGTCCCTTACTGCCTTAGCTTTATTCGGGAAAATGCACTATTTGCAACTAGGAACTCCTTTCTGAAATGTTCTGAATTCTCCATTCCCTTGGTCCCTTCTTCCTGGTGTCTAGCAGCGAGGAGGATTAATTTTCAAGTTAAACAAGTAAATCTCAATCTACAGTTTTGTTTTGAGTAGTATAGCTCTAAGGGACGAGAAAGAGTTATTTACCTCACATTTAAAAAAATATTTTATTTATTTAGTTTTAGACGGGTAGGGTGAGAGAGAGGGAGAGAAACATCGATGTGTGAGAGAAACATCAATTGGGTTGCCTCTCGCACGCCCCCATTTGGGGACCTGGTCCGCAACCCAGGCTTGTTCCCTGACTCGGAATCCAACCGGCCACCTTTCAGTTTGCAGGCTGGCGCTCAATCCACTGACCCACATCAGCCCGGGCCCTTTAAATTTTCTTGCCCACAACTGACGTGCTAGCTTTCTGGCTTCATGCCACTCTAAAATAGGACAGCGCCTAGTGGTTGAAGTACGGTCTTTGACGCCCTGACGTCACGCACCGCGACTTGGGGGCGCGCACGTAAGTTGTTGCCGCTGGCTGACTTCCGGTGGCAGAGACGCCGAGTTTCCGCGGGAGCAGGCGCTGGTGAGAGTCGGGTGCTGTGAGGCGGGAAGAGGCAAGTGGGAGCTAGACGCCGGTCCGGAGGGTGACCAAGCTGAGGAAGTCGGGTCTGAGAGTTGGTGCAGGGTGTATGACAAAGTGGAATTGAGGCTGTCTAACTAGGAGTGGGGTCTTGAGCCAGTGCTCGGCGCCCAGATCAAAAGCACTGTTAGGACCCCTTTTTGAAATCTTTTCTCCGGAGGGCCTCGCGCAGGGGCTACCCCCGGATTTGCGTTCTTTCACCCTGTTGGTCTGACTTCAGTTCCCAAAAGGTGAGCCTGTTTAGAACTGCTGTTATCTTGCCAGGAGCCGAACCCTAAAGGATATTGGCTTTAAATAGCTGTCTTTTTCCCCCTTTGTTTTCTTTTCTCTCCGCCCCCCGCCCCACCCTTTTTCTGGACTTTAGTAATTCATCTGTGAGATACTGGACTCGCCTAAGCTACTGCCACTCCCCTTAACCCGCTCACCATCCTCCCTTATTGGGGGCAACGGAATCTTCTCGTGTTTATTGAGCTTTTAAGGGCATCGGTAGATTGGAGGCTGTGGGGAGACTTCTAGTGACGTGTATAAACTGAATTAGGGAGCTTTAAAACTAACCTTACAATTCAGACGCTTAAGAGTTAAAACTTTATTTTGCTGCCCTCTAGTCCAAGCTTTCATTGAGTGACCTGGTAGGTGTGTATTCATTCAGATTTTGAACATTGTCAGTGATGAGCTCACTGTAACACAAGGCAACTTTATTTTTGTACCTGTTTTATTGAGTAAGGTTTTTTTTTTTTTATAACAACTTTACATATAAAGCCTAACTCTAGGTCCAAATGCTGCATAAAATAAGCACAGAGTAGGAAGTTCACGCCCTCTTTCATTCATTCATTTATTTATTCTAGGAAGATTAATTGTCTGCAGTAGGGCTGACACTGCCCAGTCTAAGGGTACTAGTTGAAAGAGTCCTTTTCCTGATAAAGCTCATAGTTTTGTGGAGGGAGACAGGAAGGAGACAGACAGGAGGCAATCACAAAAGTGATAATTACTATAAAAGAGGTTTGCAGCCCTGGTTGGTGTGGCTCAGTGTGTTGAGCACTCGCCTCCGAGTGGGAAGGTCACAGGTTTGATTCCCAGTCATGGCACAAGCTTGGGGTGTTGGTGAGGCAGCTGATCAATGTTGCTCTCCATGTTTTTCAGGCACATTGATGTTTCTCTCCCTCTCTTCCTGTCTGTCTAAAAATAAATGAAACCTTTAAAGAAAAAAAGAGATTTGCAAACAGGTGCTATAAGCACATAAAAGAAGATACCCTCCAGTTTAGGTTAGTGTTGCCCTTAGCATGTGATAACTGGGATTGAAAGCAAGAGTCCAGAAGTAACATAGTACAGTAGGAATCTCTTGTTTACCTTACATAATTTCAGTGTGGCCTAATCTCTTTAAACAACCGTAGTTTGCTTTTGGATGGTTTCTGTTAATGGAAACAAAAATAGAAAGTATTTTCTGATCTAATAAATTACTACCTAATTCTGTAGGTGCTATTCTTATTTCATTTTATAACTGAAGAAACAGATTCAGGTTAAGTAACTTATACCAGGTCACAAAGCTGGCAAGAAGCAGATTTGGGAAACAAATCCAGGCAGTGTGATTCAGTTTGCTCTCAGCATCATGCTATTCTAACCCTCCTGATGGTAATAATAATAACTGACGCTTACTAATCACTTATTATGTAATTCTTTAAAAAAAGATTTTATTTAGTTATTTTAGACAAGGGGAAGGGAGGGAGAAAGGGAGAGAAACATCACTGTGTGGTTGCCTCTCATGTTGCCCCCACTGGGGACCTGGGCTACAACCCAGGTATGTGCCCTGACTGGGAGTCGAACCGGCAACCCTTTGGTTCGCAGACCAGTGCAAAATCCACTGAGCTACACCAGCTGGGGACACTTATTATGTGATTGCTATAACAACTCTATAAGGTAAAAAAATTGTTCTTCACAGTTGAGGAAACTGAAGTTTATAGAGATTAAGTCACTGAGCCAAGATCTATCCACTTGCACTTGATGGGTGATTGTACATTTGGTATAAAGTACTGCGTTCATGATTGAATGTAACTAAAAAGATATTTGAGGAAATATCGTAATTAATATGAAGGTGGTAAGAACTTGCTTTTATCCTTTCAGGATGGAACAACAGTATTAATTTTAAAATGTTGCCCAGTAAGAAGAGAAGAACTACAGTGACTGAGTTCCCACAGCATCAGGACAACCAGGAGGAAAACGACTTAGACCTGGAGTCAGCTGTTAAACCAGAATCTGACCAGATTAAAGACTTAGGGTCAGTGTCACTGACCTGGTGTCGAAGTCACGGTACAGCAGCTGGCCTTGAAGTTCAATCTGTGCAGGATGCAGGAAATCAGTTTGGTATGGAGGATCCATGTTTGAGCTCTAGGGTACTCACCCAGGACACAAATGCGCCAGTTCTAGAAGCTGTTGATGTGGCCATCTCTAAGGGCATCACCCTTCCTTCCTTGGAGTCTTCCCAGCCCCTTAACATACATGTTGATAAAGAAAAACTCCATGCCACTGGCTCAAGGAGGGGGAAGAAGTTGACACTCAGGCCCAAGCCAGTTACCCAAGAAGACAGAGGTGATCATCCCATCACAAAGGAGCCTTTTTCAGGGGAGCCTAGTGAAGAAGTCAAGGAAGAAGGAGGTAAGATGTATAAGGTTAGGTTACATTCTCCTTGTCAATAACAGTTTGGCATTGACTTTGTCTGCCACTGCACTCTTGGCGGTGCCTTTACGTTTTGTTTCTCTGAGAGGAGATACTGATTTGGTGTGGAATTGGAACTGCTCCTAAGGGTCAGCAGTGAACTTTATGAATGGGTGGAGACTTTCTTTTCTCCCATTCTTTAAATCTTCTGTGTCCTTTTCTTTCCATTCTCTACCCTTTCATGTCTGGAGGGATGAACTATGTATGACTTTTTGTGATTTTGTGGATATCCATGAAATGGGGCTTATGGAAGATGGGCAGTGGCTCAGAAGGAGAGACTACTTCCTGGGACATTGGGAAAGGCTTTACGGAGATGACAT